GGCAGTGTCCTTTGGTTTTGGAGTTGTAGTTCACCTACATCCAGAGATCACTGTGCACTCAAATAATGATGGCTCTGGACCAAACTCTACATGAATACTCAATATACCCAAATGTGAACATCAATGGAGTTTGGGGAAAATAGAATCTTGACATTTGGGACTTGTAGTTTCTGGGATTTATAGTTCACCTACAATCACAGAGCATTCTGAACCCCACCAGCGATAGAATTGGGTCAATACTATGTTTTCTGATAGTCTTTGGTGACCCCTTTGACACTCCTTCACGACCCCCTCATTGGTCCCGACCCTCAGGTTGAGAAACACTGCAGTAGATGTTTGATTTTATTCCTATTTTATATAGGAACCATGGGCCGCATTTCTTCCCACAGGACGACGTGATTTCAAAACTGGGGAGCGAAATCGGCCGCCTTTCCGCCTTTGAGAGCGAGTGCAGCCGCAAAGACTCACTGATTGCTGAGCTCCAAGCGGAGATTGTGGCCTTGAATGACCGGCTGGCGGCGCCGAAAGCAGAGTTTCAGCAGAAGTTGGCGGGACTCGAGCAAGAAGTAGTTGCAAAGGCCGAAGAGATTAAAGCTTTGAGAGAGCAGGTGTGCGACTTAAGCAATGTATGCGACAGATACTCGCTTGTTCAGTAGACTCTCCTCTACAGTTCCATTTTGGTGGGAAGCCTCAGCATTGAACCGTTGTGTTGTTAAAGTGTGAAGTATGGAACCCTGTGCAGACAGTCGGTCAATGCGACTTAAGCAACGTATGCGGCAGGTACTGGCTAGTTCAGTAGACTCTCTTCTACAGTTCCATTTGGGCGGGAAGCCTTAGCATTGCACGGTTGTGTTGTTAAAGTGCGAAGTATGGAACCATGCGCAGACGGTCAGTGCGACTTAAGCAACGTATGCGGCAGGTACTGGCTAGTTCAGTAGACTCTCCTCTATAGTTGCATTTGGGCGGGAAGCCTTAGCATTGAACGGTTGTGTTGTTAAAGTGCGAAGTATGGAACCCTGCGCAGACAGTCTGACAATGTGACAAGCAAAATATGCAGCAGGTACTGGCTTGTTCAGTAGACTCTCCTCTACAGTTCCATTTTGGTGGGAAGCCTTAGCATTGCATGGTTGTGTTGTTCAAGTGTGAAGTATGGAACCCTGCGCAGACAGTCTGACAATATGACTTCAGGAGAGTCTACTGAACAAGCCAGTACTTACCACATACCAGTACTGCCATCTGTTGAGGAGTTACGAAGGTGGAGGCATTACTTTTCATTCAACCCTCATATGTTAAATATGTCACTTTCCTCCCCATCTCCAAAAATGGAATGCAGACAAATTCTATCATAAGACTAGTTAGCAATTGACTAAATAATTGACTAAAGTAAAGCAGTTTGAAAGTGTCACATTACTCAATCCAAAAGGGAGAACAACGAAATAGAAACAATTCTATGAAACGACCCATTTTTTCCCCATGTTCCTGTTCTTCCAGATCGACAACTTGCAGAAAAACACCAGCGAGGTCTTATACCATTCCCTTTCTGAGCGGGATTTGCAGATTGCGCACTGGAAGAACGAGACAGAGACGCTGAAGAAGAGCTATTCCCTGACTACAGGTGCGTTTCGCAATAACGTTACGTCTCTTCCTCTCTCTTTTCCCAAAATATACTGTGAACCACCACCGCCTCCTCCTGAGAAAAATGTATAGTATCTCAAAGGACAACCACCTCACCCGCCTCATAGGAAACCTGCTACAAAACAGGAGCTTCTTTGTTGAGTTCCAGGGCCAGAGAAGCAGATGGCGGAAACAGAAGAACGGCCTGCCTCAGGAGAGCGCTTGCTCCATCCATGTTCAACATCTACACAAATGACCAGCCACTGCCAGAAGGGACAGAGAGTTTCATCTATGCTGATGATCGTGCCATCACCGCTCAAGCAGGGAGCTTTGAGATGGTTGAACAGAAGCTCTCCGAAGCTCTAGGTGCCCTTACTGCCTATGACAGGGGAAACCAACTGATCCCTAACCCATCAAAAACACAGACATGTGCCTTTCATCTCAAGAACAGAGAAGCATCCCGAGCTCTGAGGATTATTACCAGGGAAGGAATCCCACTGGAGCCAAAGACTTGGGAGTCACTCTGGACCGTGCTCTGACCTACAAGAAGCATTGCCTGAACATCAAGCAAAAAGTGGGCGCTAGAAACAATATCATACGAAAGCTGACTGGCACAACCTGGGGATCACAACCAGACACAGTGAAGGCATCTGCCCTTGCGCTATGCTACTCTGCTGCTGAGTATGCATGCCCAGTGTGGAACACATCTCACCACTAAAACAGTGGATGTGGCTCTTAATGAGACATGCCGCATTATCACGGGGTGTCTGCGCCCTACACCACTGGAGAAATTACACTGCTTAGCCGGTATTGCACCACCTGACATCCGCCGGGAAGTAGCAGCCAATAGTGAAAGGACCAAGGCAGAGACATCTCCAGCTCGTCCCCTGTTTGGGTATCAGCCAGCACACCAACGACTTAAATCTAGAAATAGTTTTCTAAGATCTACAGAGACACTCGCTGGAACACCTCAGCAAGCAAGAGTCCAAAAGTGGCAGGCTCAAACCCAGAACCTCAATCCATGGCTGATACCAAATGAGAGACTCCCCCTGGGCACACAGAAAACTGGGCGACTACCACCTCACCCACCTCATAGGAAATCTGCTACAAAACAGGAGCTTTTTTGTTGAGTCAATGAGTTTCATGTAGACAAAGAGGCTTCGGTGCAAAGGGCAGATTCTCATGAGAATGTTTCTGTCAGGCCTTGGGAGAAAGGTTTACTCCCTCCGTCTGGGCGCTCTCCAGATTCTAGTTTGGAAAACAGTCTGACACCTGAGGAGTCAGATAAGCAGAGTAGGCGGCTGGAGATTAGCCAGAATCGACAAGAGGCCCAATGTTTACGTAGATCCGAAAGAATTCGTCAATTAAAGTCAAAGACTGGGGAAAAATGAAAGCAGTTTTTGGGATTTAAGGTTTGCCTATAGAAAATCTTATCAGATCAGGCATCGTTTGGAAACCAAGTTCTTCTGCCACTGAAGTCTTGTTTCTATGGATTTTTTTAGCCTTTTGGATTGTCTTTGCATCCTGCTTGATTCCTGGCTGGATTGATGCTCTCTTAGATTGCCTGTATTTCTTGTGTGGACATTGCTTTGGGTTACTACAATGAACAATTTCAGACCAATCTCCAACCTCCCTTTCTTGGGCAAGGTGCTGGAGCGGGTGGTCGCCTCCCAGCTCCAGGGTTTTCTGGATGACATCAACTACCTAGATCAGTCACAGTCTGGTTTCAGGCCTGGTCACGGCACCGAGACGGCCTTGGTCGCCTTGGTGGACGACCTCTGTAGAGAGCTGGACAGGGGGAGTGTGACTCTGTTGGTTCTCTTGGACATCTCAGTGGCTTTCGATACCATCGATCATGGTATCCTTCTGGGTCGTCTCTCTGGGATGGGTCTCATGGGCATGGTTTTGTCCTGGCTCCGGTCCTTCCTGGAGGGTTGATCCCAGATGGTGAAGCTGGGAGATGCCTGCTCGGACCCCTGGCCTTTGACCTGTGGGGTCCTGCAAGGCTCTATTCTGTCTCCCATGCTTTTCAACATCTACATGAAACCGCTGGGAGAGGTCATCCGGAGTTTTGGAGTTAGGTGCCATCTCTATGCAGATGACACACAACTCTACTACTCTTTTCCACCTAATTCCAAGGAGGCCCCTCGGAGTGCTGGACGAGTGCCTGGCCGCTGTGGCTATCTGGATGAGGGAGAACAAGCTGAAGATCAATCCCGACAAGACAGAGGTCCTCCTGGTCAATCGTAAACCGGATCGGGGTATAGGGTGGCAACCTGTGCTGGACGGGGTTACACTCCCCCTGAAGTCACAGGTCCGCAGTTTGGGAGTCCTCTTGGATTCCTCACTTACACTTGGGGCTCAGGCGTCGGCTGTGTCCGGGAGGGTGCCAACTGCGACCGTACCTCGCAAAGGCCAATCTGGCCGGGGTGGTCCATGCCTTGGTCACCTCTAGACTGGACTACTGTAATGTGCTCTAGGTGGGGCTGCCCTTGAAAATGGCTCGGAAATTTCAGCTGGTCCAATGGGCGGCGGCCAGGATGTTAACTGGCGCTCCTTACAGAGAGAGGTCAACCCTCCTGTTTAAGGAGCTCCATTGGCTGCCGTTCATTTTCCGAGCCCAATTCAAGGTGCAGGTGCTTACCTACAAAGCCCTAAATGGTTTGGGACCTGCCTACCTGCATGACCGCATCTCCGTTTATGAACCCACGCGCTCTCTTCGCTCATCCGGAGAGGCCCTGCTCACGATCCCACCTGCGTTGCAAGCTCGTTTGGTGGGGACGAGGGACAGGGCCTTTTCTGTGGTGGCCCCCCGACTTTGGAACTCCCTCCCCAAAGACATCAGACAAGCCCCTACGTTGGCAACTTTAAAAAAAGATTTGATTCCTCACTCTTTGTGTGGTGCATTTTAAGTCAGAAGGCTTCTTCTGGACCTGGAGTGCAACACTACTACTGTTACATGATAACATTATTACAAGGAAACTTTCTTTTCCCTTGTGGAGTGTGTTTTGTCTTCGCAACACCCCTCTGAATTTCTGGTGTCCCATCCCATAGGGCTGGTAACCAGTTTGCAGAAGGACATGACCGTGAAGGACCAGAGGATCCAGGAGCTCAAAATGGATGCCGAGAAACTGAGGAGGGAGATCCGGGAGAAGGACAACCAACTTGCTCGTGTTTCTGCCCAGGTGACTGGCGATTGCGTTGACGCTGAACCATATGTGGATTCAACACATCTAGTGGATTGTTCCCCTCTTTCACTTATGTAAACAAATGGTCCATAGTTTTTAGGCTTTAACAAATGTCACAAAAACTTTGTGAATGTTCTTTGATCCATTTTCAGTAGGACTGAGTGCGTCAGGTACATCCCGAGGAAGAAGTAGACACACAGACTCCAGTACTAGGTTTTATAATAATTATATTGGTTACATAGACAAAGGGGAATATGTCAAATCTACTCAAGACATTCACCCCTTCTTCAGTCATACTCTATTCATTCACTTGTTCATACACACCATCCTTCTTCACTCATACTCCATTAATTCACTCATTCATACTCACCATCCTTCTTCACTCATACTCCATTCATTCACTCATTCATACTCACCATCCTTCTTCACTCATACTCCATTCATTCACTCATTCATACTCACCATCCTTCTTCACTCATACTCCATTCATTCACTCATTTATACTCACCATCCTTCTTCACTCATACTTCATTCATTCACTCATTCATACTCACCATCCTTCTTCCCTCATGCTCCACTCATTCATACTCACCATCCTTCTTCACTCATACTCTATTCATTCACTCGTTCATACTCACCATCCTTCTTCACTCATACTCCATTCATTCACTCGTTCATACTCACCATCCTTCTTCACTCATACTCCATTCATTCACTCGTTCATACTCACCATACTTCTTCACTCATTGTCCATTCACTCATTCATACCATCCTTCTTCACTCATACTCCATTCATTCACTCATTCATACTCACCATCCTTCTTCACTCATACTCCATTCATTCACTCGTTCATACTCACCATCCTTCTTCACTCATCCTCCATTCATTCACTCATTCATACTCACTATCCTTCTTCACTCATACTCCACTCATTCATACTCACCATCCTTCTTCACTCATACTCCATTAATTCACTCATTCATACTCACCATCCTTCTTCACTCAGTCCATTCATTCACTCATTCATACTCACCATCCTTCTTCACTCATACTCCATTCATTCACTCATTCATACTCACCATCCTTTTTTATGCATGAGCGATGTTCCATGATTCTGACCTTGACAGATCTACTTGTCATGCCAATATAAAGAAGGTCACATGGGCATAAAATACAATATATAGCATTTTCCGAGGAGCAGGTAGTAAAATCATTTAAAGGTATAGTAATCTTCATGGTTGGGTGTGTGAATTGTTAAACACCGACCTTAATAGGCCCTTAGCCAGACCCCAAGCGTACAATTTCACACAAACAACAACAGTAAAGGTCCCACGGAGTCTTCCTTTCTCGGCTGATGGAGTTCTCCTCCGTTGATCTTTTGTTGCAGTGTTCGAGGATTAAAGAGGAAATGAAACGTGAACTCCGGGACAGAGAAGCGAATGCCTACGAGAATGTGAGTTTGCCTTTACTGTCTTGTTACTTTGCATGTGTAGACTCGATAACACAAATGGGGCCTCCCAATACTTTATTTATTTATTTATTTGGGGTGCTTCTACCCCTCCCTTCTCAACCCCCTGGGGGGGGACTCAGGGCGGCTTACAAAAGGCACAATTTGATGCCTAACAATTACAACATACAATGCAATATACAATACACAAATTTACCACATAATATCACAGTTATAACTAATTAAAACAATCAGACAATATACTAGCAGCAATAAAAACATCTTGTGGTCAATGTTCACCAAATCCAAGTCCGTAAACCATTTAGCATCGTCATTGTCCTTTCCTACTCTGGTCATTATTGGTTGTCTTTGTCCATCTGCCAGCTTACCCGAAGGCCTGGTCCCACATCCAGGTCTTTAGCTTCCTTCTGAAGGAGAGGAGGGATGTTGATGTCCTAATTTCCCCGGGGAGCGCATTCCACAGGTGAGGGGCCACCACCGAGAAGGCCCTGTCCCTCGTCCCCACCAGTCTCACTTGTGATAAAGGTGGGGCCGAGAGCAGGGCCTCCCCAGAAGATCTTAAACTCCGAGGTGGGACGTAGAAGGAGATACGTTCGGACAGGTACACTGGGCCAGAGCCGTAAAGGGTTGTGCTCGGAACTGGATTGGCAGCCAGTGGAGCTGGCATAGCAGGGGGGTGGTATGCTCCCTGTATGACGCTCTGGTGAGCAATCTAGCCGCCTGTTGGACTAATTGAAGTTTCCGAACAGTCTTCAAAGGCAACCCCACAGTAATCTATTCGGGATGTAACAAGAGCGTGGACCACCGTGGCCAGATCCGACTTCCCAAGGTACAGGCGCAGCTGGCGCACAAGTTTTAATTGTGCAAAGGCTCTTCCGGCCACCGCTGAGACCTGGGGTTCCAGGCTCAGTGACGAGTCCAGGATCACCCCCAAGTCTTCAGGGGGAGTGTAGCCCCGTCTAACACAGGCTGTAACCCTATACCCTGTTCGGCCTTACCACTGACCAGTAGGACCTCTGTCTTGTCTGGATTCAGTTTCAATTTGTTAGCTCTCATCCAGTCCAACACAGCAGCCAAACACCGATTCAAGGTCTGGACGGCCTCCTTGGTGACAGATGAGGAGAGACAGATTTGGACATCATCTGCGTAGAGATAACACCTCAGTCCGAAACTCCAAATGATCTCCCCCAGCGGCTTCATGTAGATGTTGAATAACATTGGGGACAGAATTGATCCCTGTGGGACCCCACACAACAACGGTTGAGGGGCTGAACAGGTGTCACCCAGTAACACCTTCTGAGACCGTCCCTCGAGGAAGGACCGGAGCCACTGCAAAGCAGTACCCCCAAGTCCCATGTCCTCGAAGGATTCCGTGGTCAACGGTATCGAAGGCCGCTGAGAGGTCCAGCAGAACTAACAGGGACACACTCCTCCCCGTGTCGAGCTCCCGGCGAAGATCATCTACCAAGGCGACCAAGGCTGTTTCCGTTCCATGTCCCGGCCTAAAGCCAGACTGTGCCAGATCTAGATAATCAGTGTCTACCAGAAATCCCTGGAGTTGTGTCGCCACCACACGTTCCATGACTTTGCCCAAAAAGGGGAGATTGGATACTGGCCGATAGTTGTCGAATCGAGCGGGGTCTAGTGATGGCTTTTTCAACAGCGGTTTTATAACAGCTTGTTTTAAGCTCGTTGGAAACTTTCCTTCCTTTAAGGAGGCATTAACCATTTAAGGAGGCTTTCCCATTTGCAGCGTATTTCGGAGCTGGAGCTCCAAGCGAAGCGATCGGAAGACGACCTGAAAAAGTCCCAAACAGAGCAGGACGCCTTGGCCAAAGAGCTGGCCCAGAAGAGCAAGGTAAATGATTTGTTTTATCCCATTTTTGTTGTTAGATTCATAGAATCCTAGAGTTTGGAAGGGACTTCCAGGGGCCATCTAGTCCCACCCCTTTTCTGCCAGAAATAATAATAATAATAATAATAATAATAATAATAATAATGATGATGTCAGGGTTAATTTAGTTATGTATGTGTTTTAAATGTGCTTCTATGTATTGCCAAGATGGATGCTACTGTGAATTGAAAATGCCATGCAGAAATGTTTATACTTTGAGGCTGTGATTAAGTGAACTTGAGAAAAGTAAGATAAGGTTTGTTCTTGCTGAGAACGGAAGGGAGTTGCCGGTCTCAGCAAGAGAAGATAAGCAGATGTGCAGAGGCTTTCGGTTTTGACTAGTTCCTGAATTGTAGCTCGCTGTAGGAAGATGTGTCTGATGTATGTACTTAGTAAACTTAGTTTCTTTTGTAACTCAAAGCCTGCAGAGTTCTTACTTTGCAACTCAGTGTCTGCTTGATCTAGCATTCCTTCCGCTGCGTATCGTCAATCTCTGACAAATACTACATAGAATCCTAAAGTTGGAAGAGACCTCCAAGGGCCATCTAATCCAACCCCTTTTCTGCCAGGAATAATAATAATAATAATAATAATAATAATAATAATACTGCATGGAATCCTAGAGTTGGAAGAGACTTCCAGGGGCCATCTAGTCCAACCCCCTTCTCCAAGAAATAATAATAATAATAATAATAATAATACTGCATGGAATCCTAATACTAATAATAATACTGCATAGAATCATAGAGTTTGGAAGGGACTTCCAGGGGGCATCTAATAATAATAATAATAATAATAATAATAATAATAATAATACTGCATGGAATCCCAGAATTTATTTATTTATTTATTTACTTTACTTTACTTTACTTGTATACCGCAGTTTCTCAGCCCAACAGGCGACTCAATGCGGTTTACAACAAGGATAAAAAGTCAATCAAACAACACACAATTTAAAATCAATTAAAAACATCGTATACACAATAATGACACATCAATAACAGTCCAATAACATCTCATAACTAGAATCATAATCCAATTCGTCGTCCATAATTCCGTTCCTGTATTCATCATCTTCATTGCGTTGTTATCCGAATGCCCGTTCAAACAGCCAAGTTTTTAATTTTCTTCGAAACACCATTAGCGAAGGGGCTGATCTAACCTCCGTAGGAATTGGAAGAGTCTTCCAGGGGCCGTCTAGTCCAACCTCTTTACTGCCAATACTAATAGGCCTGGGTAACAACGGAAAAATTTGTTTCTAAAATCGATTTGTATTTGGGGTTTTTTTTTTGTTTCGATATTTAAAATAATTACAAAATTTTCCTTTTAAAAAGTTCGATATTTACGAAATTTCGTAAATGGTAAAAAATTAACGAATCGATTTCCGAAACAATAACGAATCGATGCGTTAATGGCGGACGCGACCGCGAAATACGCTAAAAAACCTCCAAAACCTTCTGAAGCTTCCCTCTCCCTCTGTTGTTGACTGTTGGTGTGATATTATAATTTTTTTCAATAATTAAACCATAAAACTGGCCCAGACATGCGGAAATAATAACGAAACGACCTCAAAACAATAACGAAACGAATACAATATCGAAATACGAAGCATTTACAAAACGTTTTTGAAAATTCGTTTTTTTTTTAATAATTGCTCCAGAATGGTTCGTTATCGTTTTGTAATTGAAAAAAAATTAACGAATTATTAACGAATTACGAATTAACGAAACGAAACCGCCCAGCCCTAAATACTAATACTGATACTAATACTAATAATAATACTGCATAGAATCATAGAGTTTGGAAGGGACTTCCAGGGGCCATCTTTTTCTTCTTCTTCTTCTTCTTCCTTCTTCTTCTTCTCTTTCTTCTTTCTTCTTCTTTTTCTTCTTTTTCTTCTCCTTTCTCCTTCATCTTTATTCTTCTCCTTCTTCCTTCTTTCTTCTTTCTTCTTCTTTCTCCTTCTTCTTTCTTCTTCTCCTTCTTCTTCCTTCTTCTTTCTTATTCCTTCTTTCTTCTTCTTCTTCTTCTTCTTCTTCTTCTTCTCTTTCTTCTTTCTTCTTCTTTATGGGGTTGGACTGGATGGCCTTAATAATAATAATAATTATTATTATTATTATTATTATTAATAATAATAATAATAATAATCTTTATTTATACCCCACCACCATCTCCCCAGTGGGGACTCGGAGCGGCTTACATGAGGCCAAGCCCAAACAACAAATTACAATAAAATAAAACCAAAAAACAACCAAAAACACAGACAATAAACAACATCATAATTACATAAAACATGTAAATACATAGCAATATAAAACTGCAATATGCGCAATCACAATGACAATGGGCAGGCTACATGTAATGATTAAAAGAGAGACTAATTAAAATTAATTACAACTCGGGTGAGTTAAAAGAGAGACAGATTATTTGCGGAGGAGGGCTCATTATAGCGGGGGTTGTGGAATCAAGTTTTCCCACAGAGGGGGGACAACGACATATACTCCAATGACAGAATGTTGAGGCTAAGCAGTAGTGTGGGATTGTATACCTACTCTCCAAAGGCGCAATGGAAGAACCGGGTTTTAAGGTCCTTTTTGAAGGTTTCTAGGGTAGGGGCTTCCCTAATTTCTCCAGGTAGTGAGTTCCAGAGTCGGGGGAGCTCTGAACTTTCTTCCAACCATAGGATCCTATGACTGTAAAACTATTAATATCTATGAGGCAGCATGGCCATTTGTTGGGAGGGCTTTCATTGTGTCTTCCTTTGTGGCCGAATGGGGTTGGACTAGATGTCCTTTGGGGGACCCTTCAGACCATAGGGTTTTCTATTATTCCCCAATAAATAAGATAAACAAAGGGAACCATTGCTGTTTTTGCCAAAGTTTCAGAAAGTCCCGGCTTCCTTTGTTACAGGCCGAAGGAGCGCTGCGGGAAGAGTGCATATGGAGATTGCAGCAGCTGCAAGAAATGGGGCGCCGGGAGCGGCTCATCAGGTCGGACATGGATCTGGCTGTGACACAGGTACGGGCGGAAGCGACACTTAGATTGCAATAAGCAAGGGAAGCAAATCAAATCATTTGTTTCAGACACTGACCAGCACAGGAAGTAAAAGTCACAGTTTCATACAAACTTGGTATGTTTAGTACACTAAAAATATAAATATAAATACTGAAGCACAATAGTAGGGCTGGGCGGTTTCGTTTCGTTAATTCGTAATTCGTTAAAAATTCGTTTTTTTTATAACGAAGCGATATTGAACCATTCAGGAGCAACTAAAAAACGAAACGAATTTTTCCAATTCGTTTCGGAATTGATTCGTTATTCGTTATTGATTCGTAAATGTTTCGTTATTATTTCCGCATGTCTGGTGCAAGTTTTAGGGTTGCTGTTTGTTTTCTCAGTGAAAAAAAATATAATTATCACACCAACAGTCAACAACAGAGGGAGAGGGAAGCTTCAGAAGTTTTTTTAGCGTATTGCGCGATCGCGGCCGCCATTAACGAATCGATTCGTTATTGTTTCGTTATTGTTTTGTAATTTTTTTACCATTTACGAAATTTCGTAAATATCGAACTTTTTTTAAGGAAAATTTCGGAATTCTTTTAAATATCGAAACGCAAAAAAACCCCAAAAAACGAATCGATTTTAGAAACAAATTTTTCCGTTGTTACCCAGGCCTACACAATAGGGGTGAGGATCATGTAACCCATCTATTGAGTGTCACGTTGCCAGGGCTCTGCCTTATTTAGGTAGAGATGAATCAAACTCCCAGTTTTATCGAACAGTTTAATTAAAACAGCACTTATTTATTTATTTATTTATTCAACTTGTATACCGCTACTCCCAGATTAAAACAATACAATTAGCTTTAAAATGACCATAACAATCACAATAGGCAGCGAGAACAGGCATAGCCTGGGTTGTTCACCCATTGAAAGCTTGCCGGAAAAGAAAAGTTTTACAGGCTTTCCGAAAAGCAAGTAGGTCTCGGATGGTTCGAGTTTCGACCGGCAAGGCATTCCATAAACGAGAAGGCCTAGTAGATGACAAATGATAGGTCTGGATGTTAAGGACTGCAAGCAGATTTTGGTCTTCAGACCGGAGTAATCTCTGGGGTTGGTAGGGGGATAAGCGGGCCCTCAGGTACGCCGGCCCCACCAAACCCTTCCAGTATTTTCTGTTGGTCAAGGGAGTTCTGTGTGCCAAGTTTGGTTCAATTCCATTGTTGATGGAGTTCAGAATGCTCTTTGATTGTAGGTGAACTATAAATCCCAGCAACTACAACTCCCAAATGACAAAATCATAATTTTTTGAGTGATGGTCACTCCTTGTGTTGTGAGACGTTTTGTTGCCAAATTTGGTGGGATTTCGTTCATTGGTTCTTTTGTTTTTAAGGTACTCATGACGCCCAGAGCATTTTTATATATATAGATTATTCTTTCCCTGACCCCAGGCACAGTCCTTTAGGCACCAAATCACCGAAATACTGTTTTTTCAACTTCCCGAGGATTCGGTGACTGAGCAGCAGGTAATCATAACAACACGAATACCCCTCGTTTAGAAAATACTATGCAGCGTATATCTCTATGACAATGTTTCTCTACCTGGGGGTTGCGACCCCAGGGAGGGTCGCGAGGGGGGTTTCAGAGAGGTCACTGAAGACCAACAGAAAAAAAATTATATATATATATATGGATGTAGGTGAACTACACCTCCCAAACTCAAGGTCAATGCCCACCAAACCCAGTATTTTCTGTTGGTCATGGGAGTTCTGTGTGCCAAATTTGGTTCAATTCCATCACTGGTGGAGTTCGGAATATTCTTTGATTGTAGGTGAACTATAAATCCCAGCAACTACAACTCCCAAATGTCAATATCAATCCCCTCTAAACTCACCAGTATCCAAATTTGGGCATATCGAGTATTTGTGCCAAATTTGATCCAGTGAATGAAAATACGTCCTGCGTATCAGATATTTACATATTATTATTATTATTATTATTATTATTATTATTATTATTCCTTCAATATATTATTATTATTATCCCTGTTACATATTATTATTATTATTATTATTATTATTATTATTCCTTCAATATATTATTATCCCTGTTACATATTATTATTATTATTCCTTCAATATATTATTATTATCCCTGTTACATATTATTATTATTATTATTATTATTATTCCTTCAATATATTATTATTATTATCCCTGTTACATATTACTATTATTCCTTCAATATATTATTGTTATCCCTGTTACTACTACTACTTATTATTATTATTATTATTATCATTATCATTATCACTATTACTACTAAGCATGGGCTGGATGGCCATCCTTTGGGAGGGATCGGATTGTGCCTTTCCTTCAAGACAGATGGGAGTTAAACTGGATGGCCCTTGAGGTCTCTTCCATGGTTATTCGTGGATTTGATTGACAACGTTCACTCGTAAGAATATTCACTCTAGTGTTGTCAACGTACTCAAGTCACGCAAGAAGACAGTTCGATTGTATTATTATTATATTGTTGTTGTTGTTGTTGTTGTTGTTGTTATCCCTTATTATTATGCTTTCTCCTTCCTGAAAAACAGATTGTAGAGAAGATCAAGCACATCGAAGCCACGAATGCAGAATATTGCCGGAAGGAAATGGAGCTGAGGGAGGAGATGCGCGTCAAAAGATCCGAAATGGAGCAAGTGTCCGAAAACATTGAGAGGTTGAAGAAAGCCTTGGAAGGAGTTCAGGTACCACCAGAAAGCCACACTTGTCTCAGATTACTTGCTCTTGGCTGTTGGGAGTTGTAGTTCACCCAATTCCGGAGAGAACTGTGACTTTCACCAGCCATGGATATGGACCAAACTTTTAGTTGGCTCTTTCTAGGAAAGAGAAGGAAGAGACGAAGAAAGACGTCACCAAAGAACTACGCATTCTATTCAGACACGGCAATGGATCATTCGGGATCGGAAGAAGGAACTGTTGTTTTCAAACAACGTCAATGGACTAAATTCTCCGAATAAAAGAAAAACTATTTAGCACCAAATAAAAAAAGAACATTATAATGTTGTTTCTTTGCAAGAAACAACCATCACACAAAGAAAAATTGACCCAGGATGTTGGGAGTTATAGTTCACCCACATTGAGAGAGTTCTAGTTCATCCCACCAACAATTGACATAGACCCGCAAACCATGGATATGGGCCAAACTTGGCACACAGACCCAACATGACCAACTTTGAATACTGGCAAAGTTTGGGGAGAAAAATTGACCCAGGATGTTGGGAGTTAAGTTCACCCACATTGAGAGAGTTCTAGTTCATCCCACCAACAATGGATGTAGACCCGCAAACCATGGATATGGGCCAAACCTGGTATACAGACCCAATATGACCAACTTTGAATACTGGAAAAGTTTTTTTGGGGGGGAAATTGACCCAGGATATTGGGAGTTATAGTTCACCACATCGAGAGAGTTCTAGTTCATCCCACCAACAATGGATGTAGACCCACAAATCATGGATATGGGCCAAACTTGGTATACAGACCCAACATGACCAACTTTGAATATTGACAAAGCTTGGGGAGAAAAATTAACTCAAGATGTTGGGAGTTGTAGTTCACCCACTTCCAGAGAGTTATAGTTCATCCCATCAACAATGGATATAAGCCAAACTTTACATACAGATCCAACATGATGACCAACTTTGAATACTGGCAAGATTTAGGAAGTGAATTATTGACCTAGGATGTTGGGAGTTGTAGTTCACCCACATCCAGAGAATTATAGTTCATCCCACCAACAATGGATGTGGACCAAACTTGACATACAGATCCAACATGACCAACTTTAAATACTGGCAATGTTTAGGAAGTGAATTATTGACCTAGGATGTTGGGAGTTGTAGTTCACCCATATCCAGGGGATTATAGTTCATCTCACCAACAATTGATATGGACCAAACTTGACATACAGATCCAACATGACTAACTTTGAATACTGGCAGGGTTTAGAAGATGTCTCAAGAAGTTGGGAGTTGTAGTTCTCCTACAATCAAACGTTTGTCCTTTCCTCTATTTCCCCTCTTAGGATTTCTTGCAAACTCCCTACTGCAGCCACAGTTTGCAGAAGAAGGTCTTCGATCTTCAGAACATCAACCTGACCCCACCGGCTTCGGACGTCCAAGCCGCATCGGTCCAAATCCTGGGCGGTTTGTTGAACTGGGTGGACGCGATGGAAGGCCTCCTTCAGGACTTGGAGTTGGATCTGCCCGCCTGTGAAAAAGGTTCTTGAGAACTTCCTTTCATTTGGGTTTTGTGTGTGTATATGCATATGTGGTTTTGCGCATCCGTTGTAATGTATTTTTTGGCTTTTTAAGTCCCTTCCGCCAAGTTTTCCAGTGTTTTTATGAGTGATGGTCACTCATTGGCCTGAGAGGTGTTGTGTCCAAATCTGGTGTCCATTTGCCCAGTGGGTTTTGTGTTCTATTCATCCCACAAATAAACATTACATTGTTATTT